ACAGCAACTTGTCTGTTCCCCTTCCCCCAGTTCCCCAGAGCTGTTCCCATCCCCCAATTGCCCAATTTAAATAAATAAATAAATAAAAATATCAGAGAATTAGTATCACACAAACTGCACAATCTTACCTATTGCGGTTAAGTTGAAAACCAGTTTTTTTGAAAAAAATGAAGTTAAAAACCACCTGTTCAGAAATTTAAAAACATAGTTCTAAATAATCCAAGGGTTAAAGAATAAAGTTAATCATAATAAAAATTAGAAAATAAATGATTTTTTAAAGTATTCTATATTAAAGTTCTGGCAGAAGCTAACATAGTACCCAGGAAAATTATACCAACAAATCCTATTAGAAAATGACCTAAACGTCCAGGTAAAGATTTTTTTAAATAAAAGAATAAACAAAGCAAAACAGGTATTTTTTTCTTAAAAAGCAGAGAAAGTAGGATAAAAGAGAAGTAGAAACTATTAAATATAAAACAAACATAACAAAAAGACCAACAAAGCAAAGAGTTGTTTATTTGAAAAGGCTAATAAAAAAGGAAGATACACATAAATATATTAGGATGAAAAAGGGACGGTAAGTATAGGTGCAGCAGAGATGTAAATGGTAAGAGAATACTATACTTGTTTAGTATTAATAAATTTGAAAACTTTGGTGTAATGGAAAAATTTCAACTAAATCTCACAAAGAAAACACCAGATCCAGACAGTTTCATCAGTAAATTCTATCATTCAAACTTACATAAACTCATAAAAGAGGAAAAGAATACTTCCCAACTAATTTCATGAACCTAAAACCATTATACCAAAGCCAGGCAAGGCAGGGCAAGGAAGAAAAACTTGTAGGTCAATCTCACTCCTTTATACAGATAATGTATCAAAAGAATAAAAGGGATAAAGTGCTGATACATGCTACAACATGGATGAACCCTGAAACATTAAGCTAAGTAAAAGATTCCAGACACAAAAGGCCACATACAGTATGATTCCATTTATATGCAAAATCCAGAATACTCAAATCCACAGAGAAAGAAAAGCAGATTAGTGGTTGCCAGGGAAGGGGGGAATTGGGAGTGACTTACAGCAGGTTCGGGGGTTTCTTTTTAAGGTGATGGTTGCACAACATTGTGAATACATTCAAATTAGGTTGTCCTTTAGTTAGTACAGAAATTAGTTAAAATTACCAAGAAGAAAATACCCTGACAAAAATTAAGTTACGGCTATCTCTGAGGAAGTATAGAGCACAAAGAAAAACACATTGCATATCCATGTCCTGAGTAACATTTTTATTCAAGTCAAACAATCAAATTAAGAATGGCAGGAAAGGTGGGGAGGGAGGTTGAAATATCTGGACAACTGGACATGTGGTACCTTTTTATCTATTTATACCGCCTTACTTCCTTCCAGTATTCTACGTCATTAGGCAGCTATAGGAATTTGTTCCTCCTAATAGCACATGGTTCGGGTATGCCAAGCCCTAGGGTCTGTTCTAGTTTCAGATATTGACATTACATGACTAAGTAATAAAGTACTGGCTATATAAGACAATTGGCATTTATCTGTTAATTAACTCAATTTTGGAACAAAAAGATATAAATTCTTCATAAACTGAAAAAAAATGGCCTATAGGCAATACAAAATTTGTTATCAAATTTTAAATGGCAAAGTTGCAATCTAATCCATTTTGTTTCATTCATTTTTCATAAGAGGAAAAAATCTAGATAGGCTTTCTATCACTATCATGAAATAAAAAAACATGTTAGATACTCTCCAAGTTATACCTTGCAAGTTCCTTTGGTTTGAACTTCCACCATGTGTCCGGTTCCCGGAAAAGGACTTTATATTTATGTTTTTGAGACTACATACAAAAAAGACAAAAGCATTTAAAAATAATTACTTCTATGAAATTAAATTCAGTGTATCCAAATTCGTAGCATGTTAAAACTAAAAGAACCTAAGAGATTATCTAATCTTGAGGAGTGTGTTAAACTGGTGAATTAATCTCTTTGACCCAGCAATTAACTTCCAGAAATTTATGCTACTGATAAAATACATAAAAGTGCGAAGATATATACACACCAGGATACCCAGTTCACCATTATTTGTAACAGCAAAAAAATGCAAACAACTCAGTAGCTTATGGAACGAGCTTAACAAAGGAATGTATAACCATACAATAAAAATATTATACAGTAATTTTTAAAATTCTATATGTATTAAGGAGAAAACATCTTTAATATAAATTGTTAAGAAAGTAAGATACAGAATTTTCAGTTGGGTAAAAAGGAGTTACATATTTGCACATGTATAGAAATCTTCTGGAAATAGTCTCAAAAATACTATTAGAAGCATCTACCTCAAGGGAGAAAGATTTTAGGCCTTTTATTTTATGATTTGATTTTTTTATGCATGACTTTTATAATTTTAAAACTATTTTAAATAATACCCCATTTTATTTCTCAAAACTCTAATATGGCTATAATCTAAAAAGCCAAGCCCTAGGCCGGCCAAGTGGCGCATTGGTTAAGAGCTGGCTTGAGATGCCAGAGGGCCCCGGTTCGGATCCCACATATGAGGGCCAGTGACAGTGACACTGCCCTCTGCAGCTAAGATGCTGAACAACAGCTCGACCTGGAGCTGGGCTGCCATGAGTGGCGGGTGACGGCAGGTGGGTTGCCATGGGTTACCGTGTGCAGCCAGCAGCCAGCGTAAGCGGCCAGCAGCCACCGTAAGCGGCCAGCAGTCCAGAAGCCAGCGACTGATCTGCCTCGCCCAGGAAGAGCGCAATGATGGTACCAACTTGGGCCTGTGAAGCAACGTCCTCCACAACTAGACTGAAGAACAAAAAGATAGCAACTTGTCTGTTCCCCTTCCCCCAATGCCCCAATAAAAATCTTAAAAAAAATAAAAATAAATAAAATAAAATAAAAAGCCAAGCCCTAGAATTATGCATTAGATTCATCTCCTCTCTATCTCAAGGATAATTAATTTCAGCAATTCTCCTCTTTCTGAGGCATCATTAATTTTTCCCTCCTTCCTGAATCAATCCCATCACATTCAGTTCCTTTCATCTTACTCTTAACCCCACTTCCCATGCCTGCTCCATTTTCCTGCCCCTCCCCTTTGTAAGAAAATGCCTCAAAATAATTATAGTCTCTCTGTCTCTAATTCCTCTCCTTTTAGCCTCTCTTAAATTGGCTACTCCACTGAAACTGGGTATCGAGACCACGAATTACTTCCACATTGAAAAAATGCTATGGTTACTTCTGTCCTCTTTTACTTGACCTCCAACTGCATTGGTCACATTTCATCATCTCTTCTCCTTACATTTTTCATTGCACATTATTGCTCTTCCTCTTATCCCACTGAGTGGGTGTTCACAGTCTTTTTTGCTAGTCCATCCTTTTCACCTAGACCTCTTCTCACAGTGGAATGAATGCACCAAACTTAGTCCTTGGTCCTCTACTCTTAATCTACACTTGCTTCCTCAGTAATATCACTCCATTCATTGGCTTTAAATATCATCCATATGGTAATGACTCTCTAACTGTATCTTTAGCCCAAAACTCACTCTTGAACTCCAAACTCATAGACCCAACTACCTATTCCAACTACCTATGTTTGAACTTAACATATTCAAACCTAAACTTTTGAAATCCATTACCCTGCACCTACCCGAAAACAATTCGACTTGAACTCTTCTTCATCTGATGACAAGCTCCAGTTATACAGGCCAAAAATCTATCTTGATGGCTCTCTTGTCATACTTGACTACTCTCTTTCTTTCACATCCACATCAATCAAACAAACAAGAAATTCAGTTGGCGTTCCTTTCAAACTATATCTAGAATCTAATCACTACTCACAGTCATCTTCACTGTTACCATGTTTGTCTGAGCCACATGCTTTCTTACTTTAATTACTGCTATAGTCCTCTAGTCTCCCTGCTTCCATTCTTACCCACCCTAAGCCTATTTTCAACACAGGGATAGCAGGGAGCTAATGAAAACCTACGGAGAAGTCAAGTAAGGTTAATGGGGAAAGCATGCCCCTATGGTGAATATATTAGTCTAGAAATTAGGAACTCTTTAAGGCCAGAAAGCAAACCAAATTTTAGCTCCCAATACACTAAAATTGAGTCTTTTTGTTTCCTCTACTCCCCTGCACAAAAGTAAAACCTCCTTTGTTTTCAAAGGACACCTAATTTTCTTCAGAAAGGTGAAGAATCAGACCTTCAAAATAGTACAAGTGCATTAGGCACAGCAAAGGAGGTAGAGGCTAGATGTGTTGAGGACATAAAAGAGGAAATACAACATTCACTCACTAAAGAAACATAAATTGAGCTTTCATGTGCCAGCCATGTGCTAATCTTGGGAGAATAAACCAAACAATACCTCATATTCACAAAAGCTTCATTCGTCAATTTACTCAAGGAAAATATATTTACAATATGTCACTCATAGTGCTATACAAAGATGAATAAAACAATGGTCCTACCCCCACGAAAACATAGATGGCCTAGACCCAAATGCAGCCCATCAGCCAGTATTTGTACAGCCTAGGGGTTAAGAATAGTTTTTATACCTTTAAAGTTGTTTAAAATGAAAAAAATAAGGATCTGCAACAGATCGTATGTGGCCCCCAAACCCTAAAACATTTACTATCTGGCATTTTACAGGAAATACTTAGCCAACCCATGGCCTACTGATAAAAGCAGTGTGCTTAATGCTATGACAGAAGTAAGCCAGGGTGGAATAAAAGCAGAAAGAGTGTCCAACTCAGCTTTTTAGTAAGAAAATGAATGCTAACTTCCTGATAAAGGTGACATCAAAGCTGAGCAAAAAAGGAAGCTGGCAAATTTGGAGAACTGAAAATAGTTAAATTTACAGAATTCTGAATTTCTCAAAATAGCAAAATTTCAAAAGAAATCTGGGGAATAACAAATGTTAATCCTAAACAAGTAAGAGAATTAGAAAAAAAATTTATACACACACACACACACACACACACACACACACACACATATATAATTATAATACACACACACACAATTATATTACAGCACCACTACACTTTCATAGAAGAGATTAAACAACAAAAATAAACAATCTCAGAATTTAAAAATTGAATCTCAGGACTTAAAAACCAAAACATTTTTTTTCTCATTTTGGTGAAGACCAGGGAAAGCTCAGTTACAGAAAGTCCAAGGACACTCCTTGAGATTCACTTATGTAATTCACATCCCCAGTAATTTCAAACCCACTATTATAGACTTATGACAAGTATGGTACAAACCAAAGCAACATACGGCTTCATTTCCCATGCCTGTAGATTTGTATTATCTATTATTATAGGAGATACCTTCTTCTCAAATGCTTCTTTTGCTGAAAAACACAAATAAACAGACAATCGTTTTTAATGATAAGTGTTATCTCAATATTTTAAAATTTTGATCTTTTCATAATTTGAAAATCATAGTATGTGTTAAATTTACTCACAACTCTACTGCAAAAAATCACTTTTGAGTATATGAAAAATTAAGGTACAGGTAAATATTGAATAATAATTTAATAATACTAAATAAATACTAAAGTTATAATCAGAGAAAATTATTAAATAAAATCTATATGATCTAAGTCTTATGTGTGTGTTACATATATAAACAACACAAATTTTAAAAAAAGCTATTAAAAAAAGTATCATGCTAAAAAAACATGGTATCCTGGCTAAGATTCTGGAACAGAAAAGGACTTTTGTAGAAAAACTAAAATCCAAATAAAGTCTGGAGTTTATTTAATAGTAATGTACCTGTGATACTGTGATATATAATTAGAAATATATATTTGGTCTTCATCCTGTTTTTAGCACAGAGCTCCTAAAACCCTTGGAATTTCCTAAGTGATGAGAGCTTAAAGATATTTCTTATGTTAATAAAGTGACTTTTGGACGGGACCTAAGGATTGGGGGTTGGTTTCCTGTGATAACCTGGTGATTACAAGGTTGGAACTTTCCGCCTTGCCCCAGGACTGCTGGGGAGGGGAGAGGGGGTGAAGATTGAGTTCAGTCACCAACGATTTAATCAATCATGCCTATGTAATGAAGCCTCCATAAAAACTCAAAAGGAGAGGGTTTGGGGAACTTTCAGGTTAGTGAACACATGGAGGTGCTGGTAGAGTGGCGCACCTGGACTCAAGGTCATAGAAGCTCCGCCCCTTCTCCCATACCTTGTATACATCTCTTCCAACTGGCTATTTCTGAGTTATGCCCTTTTATAATAAATCAGTAATCTTGTGAATAAAATTTTCCTGAGTTCTGTGAGACACTCTAGCAAATTATTTGAATCCAAGGAGACTGGTCATTGGAACCTCCAATTTGTAGCCTACTGGTCAAAAGCAGGTTTGTGACTGGCATTTAAAGTAAAGGGCAGTCTTGTGGGACTGGGCCCTTTACCTGTGGAATCTGATTCCATCTCTAGGTAGACAGTGTCAGAATTGTTCTAGAATTGCTTGTTGGTGTGGGGAAGCCTCCACACACAAGTTGCAATTGGTCCAGGAAACTTTTTCAGTACCAATATTAATTTCTTAGTCTTGACAAACATACCATGGTTATGTAAGACGTTAACATTAGGGGTAACATTAGGGGAAAATGGGTGAGGGGAATATAGGAACTCTATACTGCCTTTGCAACTTTTCCAGAAATCTAAAATTATTCCAAAACAAAGTTTAAAAACAAACAAAAAATATAAACACAAAAAAAAACACAAAATGCGATGACTGAAGTAAACATTAGTATATACTGTTGTGCAAGAGATTTTGGGGTTTTTTGAGTTTTTTTTTAAAGATTTTATTGGGGAATCGGAGGAACGGGAGCAAACAAGTTCTGTCCTTTTGTTCTTCAGTCTGGTTGTGGAGGATGTTGCTTCACTGGCCCATGTTGGTATTATCATTGCGCTCTTCCCGACTGAAGCAGTTGCTCGCCAGCCATTCGATGGCCACTCATGGTGGCTCACAGCAGCTCACGAAAGCTCATGCCCGCTGTCAGCCAGCCCCACTGCAGCCCACGCCATCCCTGGTGATTCGCCATCTTGGGTGATTCACGGCAGCCCAGCTCCAGGTTGAGCTGTTGTTCACCATCTTAGCTATAGAGGGCGCAGCATCACTGGCCCTCATGTGGGATCCGAACTCGGGCCCTGCTGCTCAGAGCCAGCGTCCCAAACCAACTCCTAGTCAACGTGCCACTCGGCCGGCCCACAAGAGATATTCTTATAAAACTACCTTTTTTCCAAAAAAGTTAAACAATCCAGGAAATTAATAATAAACCACAATAAATAAGCCTTACAAGAAAATTATTTGGAAGTTTTAAAAGTTTTGTATACTCCCTTACAACTCAATAATAAAAAGACAAATAATCCAATTTAAAAATGGCAAGACTTGGGCCGGCCGAGTGGTGCCTTGGTTAGGAGTTGGCTTGGGATGCCAGCTCTGAGCAGCAGGGCCCCAGTTCGGATCCCACATATGAGCACCAGTGACGCTGAGCCTTCTACAGCTTAGATGGTGAACAACAGCTCAACCTGGAGCTGGGCTGCCGTGAGTCGCCAGCAACGGCGTAGGCTGCAGTGGGGCAGGCTGGCAGCGGGCATGAGCTTTCGTGAGCTGCCATGAGCCGCTGTGAGCAGCCATCCAATGGCCAGCGAGTGACTGCCACAGCCAGGAAGAGCGTAATGATAATACCAACATGGGCCAGTGAAGCGATGTCCTCCACAACTAGACTGAAGAACAAAAGGACAGCAGCTTGTCTGTTCCCCTTCCCCAGTTCCCCAATGCTGTTCCCTTCCCCTAATTCCCCAATAAAATCTTTTTTTTAAAAATTGTTTTTAATAAACTAAAATAAAAATAAAAATGGCAAGACAGGCTGGCCGAGTGGCGTGTTGGTTAAGACCTGGCTTGGCATGCCAGCTCTGAGCAGGAGGGCCCCGGTTTGGATCCCACATGAGGGCGACATTGCCCTCTACAGCTAAAATGGTGAACAACAGCTCAACCTGGAGCTGGGATGCCGTGAGTCACCAGCGACGGCATAGGCTGCAGCCCCTGTTGCACTGGGCTGCCATAAGCTACTGTGTGTGGCTGGAGCCGGCGTGAGCTGCCAAGAGCCACCATGAGCGGCAGCCGTCCAGGGGCCAGCGACCGATTTGCCTCACCCGGGAAGAGCGCAATGATAATACCAACATGGGCCAGTGAAGCAACGTCCTCCACAACTAGACTGAAGAACAAAAGGACAGCAACTTGTCTGTTCCCCTTCCCCAGATTCCCCAGCACTGTTCCCCTCCCCCAATTCCTCAATAAAATCTTAAAAAAAAAAAAAAAAGGCAAGACTTGAACAATTTTCTAAAGATAAACAAATGGCCAATACGCACACAAAAAGATTCTCAACATCATTAGCTATCAGGGAAATACAAATCAAAACCACAATGAAATACCATTTCATAACCACCATTTATAGCTATAATCAAAAGTCAGAAAATGATAACAAATGTTGGTGAAGATATGGAGAAGTTGAAACCCTCACAAACTACTAGTGGGAATGAAAAATTGTGCAGTTGCTTTGGAGAACAGCTTGGCAGGTCCTAAAAATGTTAGACATAGACATGCATGTTCACAGCAACATTATTCATAATAGCCAAAAGGTGGAAAACAACCCAAATGTTCATCAACTGATGAATGGGAAAATAAAATATGGTGTGTCCATAGGATGGAATATTATTCAGCCATAAAAGCGAATGAAGTACTGATACATGCTACAACATGATGAACCTTGAAAACATTATGCTAAATGAAAGAAGCCATTCACAAAAGACTACATAGTAGGTGATTCCATTTATATAAAATCTCCAGAATAGGCAAACCTGTAGAGATAGAAAATAGATTGGTGATTGTCTAGGGCTGGGAGAGGTTGAAGGGAAATGAGGAGTGACTGATAATTGGTACAGGATCTTTTTAAGGTGATAAAAATGTTCTAAAATTGATTGTGATGATGGCTGTACAACTCTGTGCTAAAAGCCATGTGAATTATATCTCAATAAAGATATTTTAAAAAGAATTCTGCCTATTAATTTAATATTACTATTGCTGTGGCTGTTGCTATAGTAAGAGCATGTTGAACTATTGCTAAGCACTTTTCATTTTGATTTAACCTTAACAACAGTTCTGGAGGTTAAATATTATTATGTCCTTTCACAGATGAAGACACTGGGCTTGCAGAGTATGAGTAATCTGCACAAGATCACATAGTGAGTAACTGGCAAATCCAAGATTGTTCTTCATCATATCATACAGTTTTCTTTATTTTTAGTTGTGTTGATTTTTTCATATTCCTGAGTTCTCACTTTAATATTTAGTTAAAGAAGGAATACAGAAAATATTATCAATGTCTGAAGATAGAAAACTCAGTAATCACCTTCACAGTGCATTTATCATGAAAGAAAGGCTAAGTAAAATATTGTCTATATGTCTTAATAAGAATTCCCCATACAAAATTCAAACTATTCATGTAACTAAACACTTCCTGATAAAACCACCTTCAGTGAATAGACAGTTCCACTAATAAAGATTTCAATGTTTTATCTATGATCTCCCAGCAGATTCAGTTTGAGGGGAACCAGTTTTACTCTTACACTAACTTCCATAAAAATTAAACCAACCCTGGGCCGGCCGAGTAGCTCAGTTGATTAACAGCACAAGCTCTGAGCAACAGGGTTGCCAGTTCGATTCCCACATGGGCCAGTGAGCTGCGCCCAAGCTGAGCTACCACTGAGCTGCAAACAGGTGGCAAAATGGTTCAGTGGTTAGAGCGCATGCTCTTAGCAACAAGGTTTCTGGCTCGACTCTCACATGGGAATGGTGGGCTATGACCACCCGCAACTAAGATTGAACACGGCCACCTTGAGTTGAACAGCCAGCCACGGGCAGCCAGGTGGCAACTGGACTTGGAGCTGAGCTAGCTGTGCCCTCCACAACTAAGATTGAAGGACAACAACTTGGCTGTTCCCCTTCCCTAATTGCCCAATAAAATCTTAAAAAAATAAAAATAAAAAAATAAACCAACCTAGGGAAAACTAGTGGATAACAATGCAAATTCCATTTTAGGAACAGGAACCAAAGCATACCAGATAACTATAACTATCTTGAGTTACTCTGAAACCCAAGTAGAAAATATGATTTACTTCTGACAAGATCCCCATTGATTAAATGAAACTTAAACATGCCATGCAACGTTCTAAACATTTTACAAAAATTAACTTGTTTAATCCTCATAACAGCTCTGAAATAAGACTACCTCTTTTATCACTTATTATATAACATTAAGATGTTATAGTTATAATTTTATATATATTATATAGCTACATAAAGTTAATTATAACTATTTAAAAGCTATATGTCTCTCAAAATACAAATACTAAGAAAATTTTTTCTTTATATTACTTTTGTTCTTTGGAATCTGATATCTATTCTTACCACGATTCTGGTTCCATTCATGTGCTTCTCCTAAATACTTTACATCAAACTGGTACTGTCCATTTATGTAAAAATAATCATCAGTACTAAGAACGACTCCATTCGGATTATCCTCTTGCAAGGTTCTGTGAATGATAAATGGAGTTATTTTCATTAACTTTTTTTCTAAATTCTCTCTCATAATTTTTACAAGGTCATAATCCAAATAAAAAATTCAAGTATTATTATTTAAAAGCATTGAGAATATTGTAATATTCAAAAAAATCATATTGGGAATATCCTCTAAGCAGCAGTTTAACTCTCAATAAAAGTGACCAAGGCAAGTCTATTTTTCTTTATGTAAAATATTTCAAAAACTTTTTTAATGTTATAAAGTCCTTTATCATCAGATATAAAGGTTTGAAGATCCACAAATTTTTAATTATCAAGAAAATTTGGTAACTGAAAATGTTTCAGAATCTTACCAGTCACAGGCATCCCCCTAATCTGGTCACTTGACACACAATGAACTACTGCACCTACTCTATGTGCAAGGTCACTTCAAGGTAGGCAGGTACCTTGGTATTTGACAGTTCTTCAAAAGTAGATGAAGCTTTTTGTATATTGCTATAAACTTAGTGATAATGCTAAAAACATCCAAAATATAATGTTAATAGACTATTAATTTAATCTGTTAAACTATACAAAGTTAAGATAGTTTTGGGGGGGTTTTTTGGACATCTCTCTTTCCTGATTTTGGAATTTATCTTCTACATAATTGAGATACATACAAAAACTAAACAAACAGAATCTACGGAAATAACAATGCTACCATTCTTGACCATTTGTAAAATATTATCATTCATCCTCTCATCCTAAAATATGTATAAATATATCTAAAGCTAAAATATTGGGTTGTAGGAAAAGTCATGACACATTTTTGCAATGAAAAACAGAAAAAAATATGTCATGACTTTCCGACAACCCAATATATCTTTTGAATTTAATTTGTATTCGCATCTACTAAGTGCCAGGCACTGTTTTAAGCACTGAGCATACATCAGTGAACAAAAAAAGGTAAAAATGCTTGCACTCATGGAGCTTACATTCTAGTGAATTGCACCACTCCTACATTTATCCTCTTTTATCTCTTTAAGTTTTCCCTTCCCTGACACTTCCTCTTTTCCCTTTAAACATGAATATCTCAGCTATCTCTAAAATTTTTCACCACACTTTAAGTAACCCTTTCAACTATTACCCAGCTTCTCTCCTTCCCTTAACTGCTTTATTATCAAGGCTTCCTTAACCCTTTGTCCTCTACCTTCACAGTGAAACAAAACTGTTTTTAAGATATCTATTCATGACCTTCTTTCTAATAAATGCAAAAGCCTTTTTTTATCCCTCATTTTCCCTGGGCTGGCATACTAGTTTAATACTGTGAACCATTCTCTCTGAGAAAACTCAGCTTCTATGTCTCTGAACTTCCCAATTATTTCTCTCTATTCATTCAAAAAATATAAGTAAACTCCTACTTTGTGACGAACACTTCTTTCTCTTCCCATTTTCTAACCATAGCTGCCTCTGGCTCTAAGGCCCCTGAAATCTAGTTCTTCAAATCTGTGTCACATTTTTATTACCTTTTAAGGAATCATCTTTTGCTCCAATCTTTATCACAAAATAGAATATTCATGACTGATTGCAATATACATAATACTAAGATAAAATGTTTAATTTTTGTTATTATTAAACCAATGAGGAAGAGCCTATAATATGTCTACAGAAGAACATGCTTATAAGTGTATGAGTAGAATATGTGGAAATTTACTGGGAGATAAATCTGGACAAAGAAAGCATATTAAAAATCAACTGAAAATGAGCTTATCAAGGACATTAACAAGTACAATATATATATTGGGTTGTCGGAATAGTCATGACATATTTTTCTATATTTTTCGTTGCAAAAATGTCTCATGATTTTTCCGACAACCCAATACATATTCACTAAGACTAGATACAGCCAGGATCAAATAAAGACACAGCGAAGAATAGAAGAGGGCAAAGAGTTAAAAACTGGAAGAAAACAAAAGAACTGGCAAATAAAATAGATATAAATCTTCTGGAAGCTAAAGGCTAATAGGGTTGGGAAACACTTTGAAAACAATGTTCTTTAACAATTGCCACCGAAAACACAACAAAGCTGCCTCTAACCCTGACTCCAGTCTCTCAGACCAAGGCACCCACAACCTACCTTAACTACAAAAGATACACTGATCGATATAGAAGACGAAATAATTGAGGGTACCACATTTTGCAACAAATAAATCATTGAGAATTTGAAGTTCTCTGACTACCAGTGACTCATTTTATTCTTTCTTCAAATCACACATTTCTTGTTTAACATGCTACAATCCAAAATTTCCAACTACCAGTAGAATTCTTACATTTAAGACTTCCTTGAATTCAAAATTAATTATGATTCTTTATAATCAAAGATGAACTCATCTTTCCCCCACTCAAATTAGTTTTCTTTCACATACAGCTGTTTCTGTTGATTTCACAAGCTCCCAATCTTGGAATCATCTCTAATTTTTCTTCTATTCTATCTCCCTCAAATGATAATCTAAGGTGAAGAATTCAATAAAATTAGTGAAAGAACAGTGAGATTAGCCACAAAGTCAGAAAAAAATTAGTAGAATGAAAACACTTTAGGGGGTTACTAAACATCTCTATTAAGCAAAAGCACATATTCATACCCTCTGTTATTAATGTTCAGGTTCATGCATTATACTTTTTAAAAAGTCAATTAAACCTCATACCTTGCCAAAAAAGATTTGCCTGATCCTGGAAGCCCTCTGAGAAGAACAAGAACTAGTCCAACATAAGATGATGTCTTCTTTCTTACAACCTGAGCAACTGGAGTTTCTTGTATTTGATAAGCACTTGTTCCCTCTTTATTTCTCCATACCTTTGTTGAGGATGGGTGAGAAATAACTGGGGTTGGAAACGAATAGTTGACCGGTCTCCAGTGTGCAGCTGTGGTTACAACAGGAGCTACAAAGCCATGGTTTCCTTGAAAGAGGTCAAAAGCAGGGATCATTGGATTCCACATCGGTGGAGGTGGGGGAGGCGGCAGCAGTAGAGGGAGAGGGGTAAGTACTGGGCAGTAATTCACATCCTTCCCCTTTGGTGGCAATTCACTGTGTTTGTGTTGCTTGAAATTGAATTCTTCAGAAGGTACAAACACATCAGGGGTAGAAGCAGATTTCTGATCCCTCCCTGTACTTAGTAAACCGAGCCCCAGATTTTGCACAGTAAGATTTAAAGAAGCATGAGGTTCACTGGCATCCAAATCTACAGGAGCTTGAGGGAGCTGAGCCTCAACACACTCAGATTCTAAAAGCTCTTTCTCTCTTTGACTGAGATTGCTACAACCACCCACAGCATCCTTTACTACATTTAAAGAACTACTGAGAAGAGAATCTTCCAATGTGTTATTCTTTATAAAACTTTTGGATTCATTTGAAACTGAATGTGAAGTTAAGGGGTTTGAACTTAAAGTAGAGGCAGAATTCTCTAGATTTTCACTGTTTAAATCCATATTTTGTGTAGAAAGAATGGTACTACTTGAATCTGAGTTTACAAACGCACTTGGGTCACTAAAAGTATTAACATCTTGCAAAGGCAAAAATGAGTACCCTTGGTCATGAGGAGAAGAGTTCAATTTGTCAAAAGCATTCTGTATTAAGGAATCCAAGTCTTCAGTTAGCTGCATGTCCAAAAATGAATCCATTTTGGAATCTTCACTCTCTTCTTCAGGAGGACACTTTTCCATTATTTCACGTCCCGCTGCACTTACTTGGTTCTCAGAAACAATGAAGCTTTTTGAAGACGATTCTTTTACGTTGGTGTCAGTGGCAGATAATTCTAATAGACAATCCATGGCATTTTCAACTGTACAAGAACAATAATAAAATATATACATATATATATTAAAATAATAAAATATAATTTGATTAAAATATACATATAATCATATTGGATTTTGCATTGAATAGAATATAGAAAAATGTATAAGTATTCATTTTTCTAAATTAAGATTTTACTAAAATACCAGTCTGTTATTAGTGAAAGGTCTGAAAAATGAAGACATGCAATATTATTACTTAAAAACAGTAACAAACTAGGCTAATAAACTGCCATAAAAAAGATATTCTCTGATGAATTTACTGAGTAAATGTAAAAATACCTGTAATTGTATGTTATTTATAAAGATCCTAAAACTGGTTGATTTATTCAACAAATATTTACCTATTGCATGTCCATTTAAATATTAAGTTTTTGAAGTACTCTTCTAGTAAATCTAATTTATTTATGTGGTCCATGCTACGAATTTCACTTAATAAAAAAAATATATATGTAGGAGGAGGTACTACATTATCAGACATACTTTGTACAAAGATGAGTAAGACATTATTTTATTACACTTAAAGGATTTTTGCAGATTAAGTTGTAAAAATTGCCAGTTATAAAGACAGTCACGGGGGTGTAAAGTACAGCATAGGGAATGTAGTCAATAATATTGTAATAACTGTATAGTGCCAGATGGGTACTAGACTTATCAGTGTGGTCACTTTGCAAGGTATATAATTGCCTAATCACTATGTTGTACACCTAAAACTAACATAATGTTGTATGTCAACTGTAACTGAAAAATAACTTTTTAAGTAAAAAAATTTAATTTTAAAAATTTTTTGCAGTCTAATGGAGGCAATTAAAGATAATTACATTAGAAAACAATAACAATATAATATAAATTAAATAATGAAAACTTTTAATAATATACAAATGCTATAGAAGTTTTACAGCAGAATAAGGAAAGATTTCACATACGGTGGTACGTGAACTGGGACTTGAAGATTAAAAAGAAATTTGTCAGATACAGAGTGGAAAGGCAAAGCCAGTCTTGAAAACAAAGTGTGTTTAAGGTATTAAGAGAAGTTAGTTGAAGTTTGGGCACACAGTAGTAGGGTGGATAAGAAGAGGAAATAAAACCAGAATGGGAGATCAGGTAAAATTCAGAAAGGTCCTGTATGTCATTCTAAGAAATATCAATTTTATTTTCGAAGGGAACTTGAAGGGAAACTATCTATCACGGCATTTGGGCTAAAAGCTTTATATATACCACTTCACTGAATCCTCAAATGATATTATGAGGTATATTATTCCTAGCAAATAGATAAAGAAAATGAAGTTCAAAAAGTACATTAACTTGGCCCAAGTCACACAGATAATAAGTGACAGACCCAGAACTGGTATGTCTGACTCCAATGCTGAGCTCTTTCTGTTATAACACAAACTGGGAGCCATTAGAATTGTTAAGCATTTAAAGTTTGGGGCTTTTGTATTTTATTTCTGTGTTTTGTCTTTTTTTCTTTTAAGGAAGATAAATATGGAAACAACATGGCTCAGTAGGTAACAGCTCTCATCTGGAGTTATAACAAATAGGCATTTAAATCCCTATTTGCTGGCTCTGACACTTTGAACAAGTTACTTAACTTTCCTAAGCCTTTATCTTCTCATTTGCAATATGGGGATAATAAAAGTACCTACCTCATAGGGTTGCTGTGAGGATTAAATGAGATAATCCATGAAAAAGTGCTGTGCACAAGGACTGGCGCCTAGTAAGCACCCAATTAATGTTCCCTTAAGAAGAAAAACAAAGATGGATTGGAGGGGGCAAGCCTGGCAGAGATCAGTTAGGAGATTATAGTAATATTACAAAAGCTAGAAGCCCTAACATAGAAAAAAGAAAAAAAAGAAAGAAAGAAGGAAGGAAGGAAAGAAAACACAAGAGGTATTTCTATGAAAAAAATATATATACATGATAGAAAAACCACAGAACAAAAGATCAACCAAAACTAATTAATGTCTATAAAATAAAAAATAGTATTCAGTTAAAATAAGTAAAAGGTCAAGATATAGATCACATTAAAAAAAGTCCTTACACAGATTGTTGGAAGAAATTAAAATAGTATAAAACAAAAACACATGAAAAATTCACACAAGAATACAAGAATTAATGAGCACTTATATACAAAAATATGTTCAACTTCCCTTTTAATTTAAAAGAACACAAATTAAGAAAAGGTGTAACTTTATTCCTATTAAAATCTTAAAATACTACACAGTGCTGAAAAGGCTGTGTTAAAACCACTATATTTATACAGTACTGGTGGTATTACAAATTAGCACACGTCCTTGGTAGGCAATACAGCAGTGTTTCCCAGAGGCGAGAACTGTTCTTACCCATAACATAACAAATAAAACTTTGGGAATAAGAAAAAAAGCCAAAAAAAGGAAAAGGCTATTTATACCAAGTCATTCTCTGAAATATTAATTATTCATGAAAAACTTAAGATATAATTAAATAACTTAGATCACAAAAACTCAGTGGAATATTAGAAAGCTATTAAAAATAAATGAAAAATTACGTTAGAAAAATGCTCATGTTAGGCTAAGTTTAAAAAGCAGAATACACAATTTCATCAATGCTACTATATTCAAACTACTCAAAATATCAGTATATATGAACAAAGTGTAGAGAAGATCCTAAAAAAGGAAAATATGGTTTTTGTTAGGCTTGAGGGTAATATATTTTTATTGCAACTCCTCATTGCTATTGGGTTGTCAGAAAAGTCATGATACATTTTGGCAACGAAAAACAGAAAAAACACATCATAACTTTTCTGACAACCCAATAGTATATGTGCAACAAATTTTAAAAACGTCAAAATTAGGAAATAAATATTGAAGTCACACATAAAATTCTACACATCATAATTTCTGAGCATCATGTGGACTTCTGAAAACTGGTTTTCTGCATATACATAACAGGATAAATAAGATATGCTCACATCACGGACCATGTAATGAATAAAAATGGAAATTTATCATTTATTACCAAATCTTCCCAAACCTAGAATAATGTTATCTTCTACTACTCATGGCCAATAGCAATACTAAGCTCCAACATTTAATTTACTCATCCAGTTAACTTGGATAATTCCCCCTCAGTCTGCAAACATACTTCTAAACAATTTATTACAAGTCATAATAACTTATTATATTGAAGACTTTACCAAACACACACACACACACACACCCTTAATCCTCATCTAATAGTAATATGAGGTACATATTATTACTTTTCTCATTAACAGATAAGAAAACTGAAACCCATAGAGGTTAAGTGGCAGAGCTGGAAATCCAACCCAGGTTTCTTGACTCCAAAGCCAATGTTTTGAAACCATACTACTCTACTAGTCTCAACTCTTACTAGCTCTCATTCCCAAAATTATAATTACCTTTTCACTCAATAAATATTTACTGAGGTCCTATGAGGCATTTGCTATTTTAGGGGTTGGGGATACAACAGTAAAACGAAAGTTTTTAAAATCTCTGCCTTTATGGAGCTTACATTCTAAGGACAGTAGTTCTCAACTGGGGATGATTTTAACCCCCAGGGAACAGATTACAATACATGAAGGCATTTTTGATTGTCACAGCTGGGGATTGGGGGGAGGTGCTACTAGCATCTAGTGGTTACAGGCCAGGGATGCTTGCTGAGTATCCTCTGGTGCACAGGAGAGCTACTCACAGGAAAGAATTTTCCGGCCCAAAATGTCAATAGTGCCAACCTGTTCTAGAAAGAAAAAAATAAATAAAACATAGACTATGATATCTATACATACATCATACATCAAGAACTGTACATTTCTTAAAAGCACAAACTATGTTTTATTCTTCTTCATATCGCTCATACTACCAAACCTAGAACCTTTCCCACAGAAGATGCTCACTAGGTGATAAAGAAAATAGAAATACAGCAGTCATTTTGCTATATTACTACTGGTCATGGCATAGTACATGAAGTCTTCTTATAAGATGCAAAGGATTCAAACTGAGCTTTGTCTCACCTTTGAAATCACATTCAGAAAGCATCAAATACACTACATCAGGATCCAGATCAGAAAACATCTCTGAGAGACTGGTGAAGAGTTCTTCCTGATGGACTTTCGTCTCACACAGGGAAGGAAGAGTCGGAGTTGGCGCCTCATGACTAGCAACACTGGATACAACAACTTCCTTAGAGCTTGTAGTCTTCCGAAAAGGATTTCCCCCAAGATTTTTCCTTTTCCTTGGCATGCTGACTTCCAAAACTAAAATGTTTCCCTTTTCTTATTTAAGATGTTTAATATTTAAATCATACCTCAAAGAAAACAGGGTTAAATATCTTGCATAATCCAGCAGTAATAGGACCTAAAATAGAAAGCAAGTAGAATCACTCAGACTATATAGTTACATTTCTATTTCTAAAATTGGAATATCTTTATTCAACTCTAAGAAGTACTATCAACTCTGGCAGCAAAGCGAAGCAAAATATTCTCCCTCTCCAAAATATTCAAGTTTTGCCAGGATTGAACATGTTAATAATTAAGATATTAACAAAGGTAACATATTTTCCGACCAGTGAGTGCACTGCTTTAATATTATTTCTTTTAAGAAAAACCATAAAACAGTACTGAACACCCACATCTGGATGTCTAATAGGCAAACTTAACATGGCCAAAGCTGAACTAATCACCTCCTTCAAACCTGCTCTTCCCAGGCTTTTTCCCATTTCAATTAATGCAACTCTATTCCTTCCAACTGCTCAGGTCAAAAAACTTGAAATAATTCTTGACTCCTCTCGCCCCACATCAAATCAGTAAGCCAAGTTTGTCAGTACAACCCTTAAAATGTATCCAGAATATGATCATTCCTCACCATCTCCAGTGCTACCACACCTGGATTACTGTGACAGTCTCCTATCCAATCTTCCTGCGTCCACCCTTGCCCCTTCAGTCTATTTAGCACAGCAATCAGAGTGACTTAGTTAAGCCATAGTCAGATCATGCCTCTCTTCTGCTAAACTATCCACTGGCTTCCCATCTCACTCAGGGTTAAAGCCAATCCTTAAAATGGCCTATCACCCAGATACTCGTTACCTCAATGTTGTCATCCCTAATCCTCTTTTCATTGCTCTTGTCACTCAGCCACACTTCTCCTTGCTCTTCTTCAAACACACCAGCCACATTCCCATCTGGGATTGTTTACATCTTGGTTCCCTCTACCTGAACTACTATTCCCCCAGGTATTATTTCCTCACCACCTTCCTATCATTACTCAAATATTACTATCTCAGGAAGTCAGTCCCCCAACACCGCTTACCCTTTTTCCCTTATCTAAATTTTCCCCATTAAGACTTATCATCTTCTAAAATAGTATATGTTTTATTTATTTGTTTTACTAATTTATTGCGTTTACTACACACATTCCAGTAAAGTGTAAGCCCTACAAAGGGCAAGGGCTCAGATATCTGGAGAACTCCAGTCTACTTGCTTTCTCCTCTTAACATACAAGGTCTATGACAATTAAGGTCGCGAACTCATCCTAAAAAAAAGCTACATACCTCATTGCTGAATAGCACTACTGTCACCTTTGAAGTACTCCCCTTGGGAAGCTATACGCCAACACCAGCACCTAGTCCACCCTTCAAAGCAATTTGGAGCACTTTTTCTGGAATGGCCATCAGAGCTGTCATCGTATTACCCTTGATGCCCTGAATGTCATTAAAATGTCTTCCTTTCAATATTTCCTTTATCTTTGGGTAAAGAAAGAAGTCATTGGGAGTCAGATCAGATAAGCAGGGAGGGTGTTCCAATACAGTTATTTGTATACTGGCTAAAAACTCCCTCACAGATAGTGCCATAGATGTGAGCTGATACACTGTCATGACGCAAAAACTGTTGGCAAAAAGTTCAGGTCATCTAACTTTTTCACACAGCCTTTTCAGCACTTCCAAATAGTAAGCTTGGTTAACTGTTTATCCAGTTAGTGCAAATTCATAATGAATAAACACTCTGATATCAAAAAAGGTAAGCAACATCACTGCAACAAGTTCGCAAATTTAATTCTCAGACCTATAACTAGAAAGCCCAATTGTTTGGAAATTAAGAAATACACTTCTACATACGAGTCAAAGAAGAATCCACTATGTTAATCAGACTATATTTTGAACCAAATAAAAATGTTATATATCCAAACATGTGAGATACAACTAAAGTCATGCATAGAAGAAGATGCATACAACCAAGATTACTCTACCCAGCAAGGCTATCATTTAAAATTAGAGATATAGAGTTTACCAGACATGAAAAAACTAAGACTTCATTGCCGCCAAACCAGTAATACAAGAAATACTAAAGGGCATTCTTTAAGAAGTGAAAAAATAAAAATAATAAAATAAATACAAATAAGAAAATGGCAATAACTACATACCTATCAATAATCACTTTAAATGTAAATGGCTTAAATGCTCCAATCAAAAGACAGAGGGTAGCTGAATGGATAATAAAACAAGACCCATAGATATGCTCTCTACAAGAGACCCACTTCAGATCGCAAGGCACACAGTCTGAAAGTAAAGGGATGAATGAAATACTTCATGCAAATGGAAACAAACAAAGAAGCTGCAGTAGCAATACTTACTTTAAACAAAACACTTTAAAACAAAGGCTATAATAAGAGACAAAGAAAGATATTTCATAATGATAAAGGGATGAATTCAAAAAGTTATATAACCCTTGTAAACATTTAAGCACCCAATAGAAGCACCTAAATTTGTAAAGCAAATATTGACAGACATAAAAAGAGAGATCAACAGTAATACAGTTGGGCCAGCCGAGTGGCTCATTGGTTAAGAGTTGGCTTGGGAGTGCGAGCTCTGATCAGCAGGGCTCTGGTTCGGATCCCACATAGAGGCCAGTGCTGCTGCGCCCTCTACAGCTAAGATGGTGAACAACAGCTCGACCTGGTGCTGGGCTGCCGTGAGTCACCGGCAACAGCGTAGGCTGCAGTGGGGCTGCAGTGGGCTGCCGTAAACTACCATGAGTGGCCAGCAGCCAGCGTAAGCTGCCGTCCAATGGCCAGCGACTGAACTGCCTCAGCCAGGAAGAGTGTGATGATCACAATACCAACATGGGCCAATGAAGCGACGTCCTCCACAACTAGAGTGAAGAACAAAAGGACAGCAACTTGTCTGTTCCCCTTCCCCAATTGCTCAACGCTGTTCCCTCCCCCAACGCCCCAATAAAATCTTTTAAAAAAACAACAGTTTAATAGAATCATAGTAGGGGACTTTAACACCTCATTGACATCAAGCAATATAGCTTCCAGAGAAAATCAACAAGGAACAGTGGCCTTAAATGACACATTACACCAGATGAATTTAATTGATATTTTCAGAGCATTTCACCCCAAAGCAGCAGAATATACAATCTTTTCAAGTGCACACAGAACAATTTCCCAAGATATACCACCATGTTAGGCCACAAAACAAGTCTCAATAAATTTAAGATTGAAATCTTACCAAGCAGCTTCTCCTACCACAATGGTATGAAACTAGAAATCAAATACAAGAAAAAACACTGAAAAAACACAAACACATGGAGACTGAATAACATGCTACTAAACAATGAATGAGTTAGCAATGAGATCATGGAAGAAATCAAACGGTACCCTGAGACAAATGAAAATAAAAACAAAACAACCAAAAATCTATGGGATACAACAAAAGCAGTCCTAACCAGGAAATTCAGAGAAATACAGGCCTACCTGAAGAAACAAGAGAAATCTCAAATAAACAATCTAACCCTACACCTAAAGGAACTAGAAGAAGAACAGCAAACAAAGCCCAAAGTGAGAATAAGGAAGGAAATAATAAAGATCAGAACAGAAATAAATGATACAGAGTCTAAAAAAATACAAAAGATCAATGAAACCAAGAGCTGGTTCTTTGTAAAAATTAACAAAGTTGATAAACCTTTAACCAGATTCATCAAGGAAAAAAAAGAGAACCCAAATAAAAAAATCAGAAATGAAAGAAAAGTGAAAATCAACACAACAGAAATACAAAGGATTATAAGAAAATACTACAAAATTGGACAATTTGGGAGAAATGGATAAATTCCTAGAATTATGCAATCTTACAAGACTGAGTCAAGAAAAAACAGAAAGCCTGAACAGACATATCTACTAACAAAATCGAATCAGTAATCAAAAAACTCCCAACAAACAAAGTCCTGCAAAAAAAAAAGTCTTGGTCCAGATGGCTTCACAGGTGAATTTTAGCAAACATTCAAAGAGGTAATACCTATCCTTCTCAAACTATCCCAAAAAATTCAAAAGGAGGGGAGGCTCCCAACCTCCTTGTATGAAGCCACCATTACCCTGATTCCAAAACCAGGCAAAGACATTACAATAAAGAAAATTATAGGGGGCTGCCTGAGTGGCTCAGTTGGTTAAGAGGGCAAGCTCTGAGCAACAGGGTCACTGGTTCAATTCCCACGTGGGCCAGTGACGCTGTGCCTGAGCTGAGCTGCCGCTGAGCTGCCAACGGGTATCAAGATGGCTCAGCTGGTGAGCGCACATGCTCCTAACAACAAGGTTGCCAGTTCGACTCCTGCATGGGATGGTTGGCTACGCCCACCAGAAACTAAGATTGGACATGTCACCTTCAGCTGAACTACCCTGAGCTGCCCACAGGCAGCCGGATGGCGACTGGACTTGGAGCTGAGCTAGCTGCACCCTCTACAAGTAAGATTAAAGGACAACAACTTGGCTATTCCCCTCTCCCAATTCCCCAATAAAATCTTTTAAAAAAAAAATTATAGGCCAATATCCCTGTGGAACATAGATGCAAAAATGCTTAACAAAATATTAGCAAACCAAAATCAGCAGTACATTAAACAGATCATACACCATGATCAACTGGGATTTATTCCTGGGATGCAAGTTTTGGTTCAATATCCACAAATCAATTACACTATATACGTCACATAAACAAAATGAAGGATAAAAATCATTTGATCATGTCAATAGATGCAGACAAAGCATTTGACAAAATCGAGCATCTATTTATAATAAAAACCCTCAGCAAAGTGGGAATAGAGGGAACATATCTCAACATAATAAAGTCCATATATGACAAACCCACAGCTAATATCATACGCAATGGGTAAAAGCTAAAAGTATTCCCCTTGGGCTGGCCGAGTGGCGCATTGGTTAAGAGCTGGCTTGGGACGCCAGA